GGTACAGATAACAAAGTCAGGTGTAGATTGTTGGATTTGATAAGTGTGCAAAATTACAAAAGCAGCATGTGTTTACATTATGAAATGGCTTATCACATTCGTGTTGATTTTGTCATTTCATGGAAGAGGTTGTTATAACTAGGTCGAATTCTGTTTTATTCCATCATTCCTATTCAGACAATTTGGATTCTATTCGTATGAAGTGCTTCTGATATTTGATGTTCTTTGTGATTTCTGAGATTTTCAGGAACACACACCACTTTTATAATTTTGCACACTTATCAAATCCAACAATCTACACCTGACTTTGTTATCTGTACCAATTAGCCAACTTGACTACGCAAAAATGACTCCATGCTGAGGAACGATGATTAAGTTGTTATATATAGGCTGAGATTTTGTAAATTCTGGTCTAATAATACTACATTGATAAAGCTATTAGCATTAAATAGCGAAACGTTAGTAAAAACGATATCGATTTGTTTTTTATTCTTTGGGAAATACAAAAAACCTTTATTAAAAGCTCTGTTGTCTTAATTTCGATTAATTTCCCTGAAGAGGTTCGAACCAGTTTGTCAAACGAAACGTTGGAATTACTCACTTCAATTTCGTCGAGTTTTTTTTCAAATGTCTAATTCTCACTCGGTGCCCAATTACTTTGGAACTATTCAATCAAATCTTGATCACAATTCCTATGAACAACTTTACCTAGTTTCATCATGCATGTTTAAACTCAGCTTCAGGTTTTCTGTATAGGTCGAAGAAAAAATGTTGAATACTGAACATTTACATTTTCTATAATCTTGACATCAAATTTTTAAAAATGTCGCTTATAATTCAAGGAGTCTGTGAAACGTTACATCAAGACCAATAGACAAACTCTTCAGTAGTGTTTGAAATGATTTTTTGACTGAAACGAATGAGACCTGTAACATGGTCGCATGAAAGATCTTCGGAAGAGAAGGTGAGAACAATATGAAGGCTTTATAGGACAGAGAATTCGACCATTATTTAGCATACTGATGACCATTGAAATTAACTTTTGGTTGCATTGCTAGATTGTGAATAATGTAGGACAATATTATCTAAACAAAAGTATACAGCACTTCGTAAATTAGTGTTGGCAGGAATCACAATTTAGAAATGTGAATTCCTAGATGAAACGATAGAATTAAGAAAATATAGAACATATTTTCCTTCTGACATTTAGCTACCAATTTTACCGAATAAACTGCTGAATACGCAATATCCTAGATAGCAGAAGCCATAGCAATTCATGTTACAATGCGGACCACTTGACCATTCAACCACTAGAACAGAACCATGTTATATACCGCGAACCAACAGAAATGAGATCTGAGGAGTCATTGGATTACATCCCGGCGGCTGAATGGTCGACGAGCTCACCTAATTCTAACCTGAATGTCATGGGTTCGATCCCCGGCAATGGGATTAGCGTTATTAACTGATATTAATGATTGATTATTTGTAGAAAAATTAGATGAATACATTTAAGTCTTGGTCCGCAGTGACTCGACAGGTTTCAAGTTTTATCACTGGTCGTCCCACTTTGTGATTCTTCGGCAGTTCAAATCCACGACCCTGTCGCCAGGGGTCAAACTCAGGACGTCCAGTTTGCGAGGCAAGACAGGTGACCATTCAGCCACTGGGACGGAACCTAATGGTCTTTAATGCTAACTTCTGTCACTTCGTTATTAATACAGCCACCGCCCCATCGGCTGACTGGTCAAGGAGCCCGTATTCTAATCCTAAGGACTTGTTTGGATCCAGAGAGGTAGGGCCATGTCTGCGTACTACGGAAGAGTCTCAAACAAGGACAAAACAGTTATCCAGTACTTCCTGGTTTTCAATTAAGTCAGTTCATGATCGAAATGGATGAAAATTCTTGAAATAAAGAAAACAGGAATACCATTAGTGAATACCATTTCAGCAGAACGTTGTGCCTGTTGATTCCTTTGAACACCTTTAGACTTCACAGAATATGACCAGTATCCAGGAAATGATGTGCAATCGCATTATTTAGTATCTTTTATTCTCAATCTCTTCCGAAATATGTCCGATAACTCTTCACTATTTTATTACACTTTTTGTGATTTACTGCATATCTATAAAGTGGTAGATACATTTAGGAGTGAAATGAGGTGCGAATTTTTCTACTTTCGATTGTCGTCCGCAAAGATCATCTGGATATCCACTAGTGACTAGAGGAAGAAGGATTAAAAGACAGCGATGAAAGCCAAACCAGTTTACCATCTTCTAATTGAAAAGCATTGTTTTGAATATTCGGATTAATTTATTTAAAGGAGAACAAATTTCACACATAGATAAAAGTAGAAAGATGGTAGATGTAAAACAGAAATTAAAAAATACACTAAATTGTATGTACTGCTTGTCACAACACATCGAAACGCCGATGTTTTAAACTTTCAGAAGGAATAAAGCGATTTCATCAATAATTATTTCAAAACTTTGGCCAGACAATGTCAAAACGCTTTGGTTGCTTTCTAGTGAGCAGCCAGTGTTTCCATTACAGTCCTCCAGGAGGTGAATCGTGAGACAAAATAGCTCAGTGCTAGCATCGCTGACTGCAGCACTGGCTAATGAAGGTTCACATCTGCAACTACCTAATGTTAAAAACTTTATTCCTTTCTGGAAGTGCTTGCATTTACATTCTGATTGACTAACTGAGTTACAGCATAGAATGTTGCGAAGAAGTGCAGCAGATCAAGATGCTACTTTCGATGTAGAACATAAAGGGCGAGGGAAGAAAGAAAAATAAATTCAAAGGAACTGTAATAAGTACAAGTGTGTGAAAGAGAAAATAGTATCCAGGATAAATAAATGGGAGAAGGGCTTAATGGATATGGGAGATCATGAACAGTGAATGTATCCATGCCACTGACAAGGATTTTGAGCCATATTATGAATAGTCTTTAAACATCGTTTCTTAGCATTCCCAGAAACCCCGCAATCTGCAGTCTGAACTTCCCTACTTGGCTACCACCAACTGTAAAACACTTCATCGACTAACTTCAGGCTTTGATTTGACCACTGTAACTCTTTCCCAACTCAACCGTCTTTCACCTAACACTGCTTGTCGATTAAGGCAGTGACTTGGTAGGCGCAATAAATCGCCTAGTCATCTAAGTCTATGTAGCTTCACAACTGTATACCTAACCTCAGTATTAACGCGGGAAATCGAACACAAAATTCTGTGATCAAAGACATCCAGCCTATTCATATATCCTACTTTCAATGACCTTGTGCCACAGCTACGAGGGAGGACGAAGCGAACTGCTGTACATACTTTCTTCGGCTGATAACTGGATACCACCTCTACGCTAAAGGTGATGTAAGTTGTCGAATGCCACACAAGCCTGTGCTGAGGTTTCGTTAGCAGTCAGTTCAATGGGGCTTATACAACTTCACAGTTAAGTGAAGTGGCCAGTATGCTCAATCATTTCACTCCGTATCTCCCTATACTAGGAGTTGGTGCAGACTTGTTCCTGTAGCATTACCACCAGCTTGACAGGAACAGATCTGATGTCAAACATTCTAAGATTTCTGTTCAAAGTGTTCAGAGAAGTCCACATTTTGAAAAGATTTTTTATGAATCATGATTAAACACTTTTTCTGTTTTTCTGTTCATTTCGACTTTTTATGTCCCCAGCTTGCAAAACTTATTTGCAATTTACACAGTTGAGAGATGGAGAGAGAGGAGGAGGAGGAATTTCACTACAGTTCCCTTGGGAAACCAAATTATTCAGATTATAATTTGTGATCTCCTTGTTAGTATAACATAACATAACATAGTATAGCATAATTGCACAAAACTATCTATTGCTGATTGATTGAGATAAGTACTTGTAAACCACCCTCATCAACCAGTGGTGCTTGCTACCAGCCAGCCAGAACAAAGTGATTTAAACACTGGACAGTGATTTCACTCGTTTGACGCCAAGTTCATCAGTGGCCTAGCCGGTTCGATTCAGCTGAGAGTCGAATAAGTTCAAAACACCAGATTATCGGCTAACTATGGAATTGCATGGAGGATTTCATCATGAGCTGACATCAGTTAGAGAACCACTGGAAAACCACCATGGAGTACTGGACAGCTGTTTCGTCCTAGTTTGGGACTCTTCATCAGTACACATCCACCACAGCGGTTCGAACCCACGACTTTTTGGTTACAAGGAGAGCTCGTAGACCATTGAGCCACTGGGACCCGATCCAATGGCCGGCCCATGAATTCTAACTTCTGCCAATTCACGACATAGCGCGACCACTAGTGACTGGCCCTATTCAGGCAGTTAACCTGGGGTTCTAGTGGGAAGCCGTGACCAGTAGGGTACAGCAGGTTGAAGATGAGGCAGTAACTCATCGAAGAAGACATTGCGAAATGGTCGCGCTCTGTCGTGAATTGGCAGAAGTTAGAATTCATGGGCCGGCCATTGGATCAGTTCCCAGTGGCTAAATGGTCTACGAGCTCGCCTTGTAACCAGAAGGTCCTGGGTTCGAAACCCGGCGAGGTGGGTGCGTACTGATGAAGAGTCCCAAACTAGGACGAAACAGCTGTTCAGTACTCCCAGGTTTTCCAGTGGTTCTCTAACTGATGTCAGCTCATGATGAAATCCCCAATGCAATCAAACATAATCCCTACAAAAAACCAATACTTGATAACTATGGAATTCACTGAGATTTTTGTGAGCAGAACAAAATATGGCCAATAATTAACTTTTTTTTCTTATATGCGTTATTCAGTGAACTTTATTCAACTTTCTTTCATACATAAATACAAATATACATATATAAATATTGATCTATGTTGAGATTAAACCAACTAATCTCAGCTTTTTGCGTTGCAACTTGTATGTAACTTTATTCTAAATATATAAGTTACTGTATTGCTTTGTACTGTTGATATTGCGTTTTATATAAATACGTTATATTATTGTTATTATTATTGTTAAAGTAATCATGCTCAACATTATCAAGCTGTTAATACTGAATATAAGCTTTAATTAGGAAATGAGAAATATCAATTTATTATTATTACTACTGGTATTTATACTAACAGCAACATTTCCATTTACAAGGACAACTGACGCTGAAGATGATTACTACGGCAAAAATGAGAAACTCTTCTACGATGATGATGATGATGATGAGGATGATGAGGATGATGAGGATGATGGAGATGATAGCGCTGGTGAAGACAATAACAAATCCTATGGTCTACACTATTCCTATAGTAATCCATCGGGATACTCAGATGGCCAGAAAGTAAATACATCAAAACCGAGCAGCAGTAATATGACCAGTAGTAAGCGTTACTATCAAAAGAAGCCTATTATCATGCATAAATATGGTAAAGTTATGTCACTTGGTGATACAGTGAAAGACAAACGGTATTCAGAAACTACAGATTTTAAAATACGTGTTGGTACAGATAGATATGGTCGAAGAAGAGATTATTCACGATTTAAAACCTATGGAAGATCTAATGACCACAGGGGAAATATGCTGGCCAATGCCTTCGATATATTTGGTAGAGGATATTCAGAGAAAAGGTACAAGCATAAAGATTCAATAAAAAAGGAGAACAAAAAAGAAAAGTTATTCGCTGACTCCGACCATTCATCTCAAAGTGTTACTCTGAACGCATCAATGCCTGCTGATCAACTACAGAATCCTATGGATGGGTGAAAATGGGACAGGCGAAGTCAAGTAATCATACTAGTAAATCATTCACTAGTAACTTTTATCTGGGATATATCCTTCTTATTCTGGAAGTGTAGTGAATTTTGTTTCCCACCTCCAAACCCCTCCTTGTATACAACACTGTTTGGTATTTGTGTCATTTAATATAAAATCTTTTGCTTATTCAGTATGCACACATTTCATAAACTACATTGTTGTGTTATGCGCTGTATTTTAAACAATGAAAAATTCCCTGTATTTTTCTAATATGATTAAATAACACTTAGAATTTGTCTTATTTTGAGCTATATTATCATTCTCTTTGGTTCGGAGTGGAATATGTAGTTTCAACAGAAAACCTACGAATGACCATAAGCTTTCATTTCCTCTTCACACGACCTCATCAATGTCACTCTTGGACCCATGCCCAGCTCGTCGTTTCACATTCGAGTGCAACTTGAGCGCCCGCCTTGGGCGTTATGCTACTCAGTTGTCTCTTTAGTGAATCTCCGACCCAACTCCATTTTCTTCATCATACTTTTTTTGGTTACAGGTTGTTGGTTCGTTGGTAGCTAGAGTTCCTTGCTGCTATCCCTACCGAACGGCCATCTAATCTCCAGGGCGGGGCGACAGCTGATGTTGACAAAAGTATAAGGCCTGTTGCAAGTGTTTATGGTAACCAGTCAATTCTCGGAACCACATAGAAAAACTGACTTGATATTAGTGTTAAAAATTCTGAATCTAGTTTTTAAAGCTAAGTGCACTGGACTTCCGGACTGGATTCAGATTAATGAAGGTTTGCCTTGCCCTTCCTATCCTGGCTTTGACATCTTCATCCATGCCAGATTTATTGATCAGGTAACTTCATCGCCGTTATATTCTCCACATTCACTTGAAGTTTCGTCTCCTGTGCTCCTCCTGTCAACCTGTTGCTTTCCGCCTGTAGATCTTCTGGTTTGGGTGATATTAGGTATATATCGTCCGTGAAGTGCAAACCTTCCAGAGTTTCCGTACAGGTCTGACGTACTCCTCTCTTTTCGCTCCCCATAGCCTGCCGCATGATCCAGTCCACTACAGTCACTAATGTCATCAGTGATAGTAGACAGCTTTGCCTTACTCCTGTATTTACTCCAAAGGCTTCACTGAGTTTTCTCTAGTGAATCAACTGACGTTTGACATCGTCATACGCCTGGTTGGTAGAAGTTTGCGGCATTGCACTCCATATCATTTTGACGTCTATGCTATCGAAGGTTTTATCAGAAACGATGAAGATGAGATAGGGATTTGACGTTCGAAGCTAGGGCACGAATTGTAATTAAGTAGCATCCGATCACGATATGAATTACAAAAACGAACTAACCCCTAATAGCAGTATTTTGAAACCCATCTCTCGTTAGGCCTTACTAACATTTTCTTATGCAAAATGAGGATTTGCAAGTCATTGTGAACCTAAGACGAGAGAAACATCAGTAAGGAAACCGATGAAAGCTAGGAAATATTGGAGAAGTCATTCCTCCTGCACTGAGACTCATCAGTAGTGTGGACAATCCGTCGTGAGACCATGTAAAGGGTTATCAGGTCACCAGTTTAGCAGTCAGCAGCGAAGGATGAAAGCCAACACTTTAGTGTTTTTTATACGATTTGTTGGTTTTACTGTCAATACAAGTTACTTTCAATATGAACCATATATCGATAAGGTGGAACTAATTGATTTTAATGAACACCCTTAACACATGGCCTGTGACAAGTAGTATTAAGATATACATTTTAAAATTAGTGGTATTCAGTAGTCATCAATATAACCTTGAAAAACATTGGGAAATATGAGGAACGAACTTGAAAAATGGGATTAGGATAAATGCATCATAATGGTATTTGTGCTAGCATATATTTATTATGACAAATAATAAATTCACTGTGCTCGAGTAAATTAAAATAATACTATACTGCAAACTGATTTCCAACTCTGTTAAAACCACTTAAACTCTATCGAAACACGCAATCATTTGGCGCTTGAAACGGTTATTGTCGGGTCATAGTCTCAGTGGAAATACCATCATCCATCTGGGAGGCACTTGCATTCAGGCGACGACTCCAGGATTGGATGAAGTTCACATCCTCTACTCCACTGCAAATGAAATAGTAATTTGCATTAGAAGACTTTAGGTTGTAGACAGCCTTCAACATCAGTGGTAATTAAGAACACATAAGTGAGCAATGAGATCTGTTCCCGTAACTTCACTTCAAAGTTGTACAATTATTTAGGCAGTTTATATCTTCAGTGTTAATTGACAATACAGGTTAGGATTAATTTGTCAGTCAGTAGCAAAATAAAGCAAGAACAACAGTGGTTTGTGCAGTAAAAACCAGCTCTTCTTGTCCTCATCAACTGGGGTAAGGTCATTCAGCTGATAGAAAAGGTTTTCGAATTGAGCTGCGACATCAGTTCTTTTGACAAAGTTATTCGGGATATGGAAGTTAAATCCGAGGGAAAGCGCTTCCATTTCAATGCGGCTTAAATTCAGACTCGACAGATTATACACAAACTTCTCAGAATTTTCTGGGAAGACGTCATATATTTTCTCCTTCGTTTTATAAAAATTTGCGCATGTTGGATAAAATTGATGAATTTGATCCGGTATACTATATTTAAACTATTGACGACACCATCAAAGGATCGGGCTTCAGTTCTCAATTTTGAAATCAGAGATTCTGTTGATTCAATATGCGACTTCGTAATGCGTTGAAGGTTTTTGAGAGAGGGTGGTAATTTGCAAGTACGTAGTGACTTGAGGATATGGCGAGGAAAGCAGTGGGACTGCAAGCATTTATCATAAAATTTTATTCGAGTCACTTCTCAGGTGCGTCGGTGGCACATGGTCCGAGGTTCGATCCCCTGCCGACGCACACCTGATATCTATGATCGGCCTGGAAAATTTGGGCTACCGATATCACATGCTGAAAACTTCATACTTGTACCAAAATACTGTGTGGAATCAAGCTATAACAAAATAAAAAAAATAAAAATATATTCTGCAACGAACTGTCACCAAATGATTCAGTGATTTGAAAGATTCTGCGGGCAGGCGATTTTTGAGAAACTTCATGCATTTATTCCCCTTGATGAGTTTCAATAAAGCAAGAACAACAATGGTTTGTGCTTTATTCAAATTCATCAAGGGGAATAAATGCATGAAGTCGCAAAATAAAGTAAAGTATATGAGTAAAACAGTGAGTGAAAAATAAAGATCTTACTTAATTGGGAGGGTTGGAAACTAATCAGTTAAGCGATGAATAAGGATTTGGAAACAATCGAAAGTAAACAAGAAAAAAATGGATAGAACATGGGTTACAAAAATAAAACTTTAAAAATAAAGGACTCCATACAGTTTATTGTACAAATATTCAGGAAAACAAAGTTGACACTAAAACCACGGTATTGAAAGATGCTAGATAAAACGTTTCTAAACATAAAGTTTAGACCTGTCTTTATGTATTGATAAAGCTTTGGCTGCAAGTAGAATATGCAGATGAAATCCTTTTGTATTTTATATGACTGTGAATGAAGTTTCTAACGATGCCGCATGATCAGAATTATTAATTTGCTCCAGAATTGAGCTGTTGACTGCTATGAATTCGCCTTTGGACAGCCATGTTGACTAGTTTTCATAGGTGCATCTAGACAACATGCTACTGGTATGGCCTATGGGCTTAACCCTCCCCCAAGACCAAGTGAATTGGTAAATACACACTGAAGTTTCCAACAGCAGGATCTTGTCTTTGAAGATCTGATGAAAGAGGAGGTGAGGCGTAGAAATGCAGCAAAAGACGTTCTTCGGATCTCCGCCGACGAGCGAAGGTCACAGTGGGCTGTTTCGTCCCTGTTTAGGACTCTTCACAGTACGTACCCGCGGGGGTTTGAACTTAGAACCTCCGGGTTACAAGGCAAGATTATGGACCATTTAGCTAGCCGTGAATGAACTTAGTGGCTGGTGGTTGTACTACGTGAATTGTCAGGTTGTAGCAGTTGGAGTTCATGGGCCATTGGACGGTTCCCAATGACTCAATGGTCTACAAGATGCGTGATGCTGAAGAGTCCGAAACTGGAACAAAACATCTGCCTACTACTCCCTGATTTTCGAATAGTTCTCTTACTAAAATAATTCCGTCTAAAATTGTATGGGCATTAAGAGAAATTGAAATCAGCTTTCAGAAACAATGAATACACAAATATCTTCGAAAAAAACAAAGTAAATGCATTTCCCGCAATAATCCGTCTTTATGACACTTTAATAATAACAATAATGGCCAGGGATCGAATTCAGGACTTTCACATTACGAGGCAAGCCTGCTGAATATTCAGCATTTTGAACGGAATCCAGTTGCCCACTAATTCTAATTTCCGACAGTTCTCAATATGTTGGGCAACTGCCACCCACCGTCACTGGTATCTTTCGCAAAGTCGTTTTGAAGACGTATCGTTAAAGAGTGCAAAATCGGGACGAGACATCCGTCGAGTACTAGCTGGTTTTCAGTGGCTGCCTAACTGATGTCAATTCATAGTCAAACCTGAGATCAGTCAAATCGTGGCAAGCCAACATACTGATAGCATTGTCTGGCGGTTGCACTAGTCATAATGAAATGACCGAAGTTAGATTTCGCCGAATTAGCTAAATGGTCAAAAGACACGCCTCGTAACGTCAAAGAGCTAGGTTCAATCTACTACAGAATCAGAGTTGCACAGTGTCGAAAAGTTTCAATCAAATAATTAACATCTATATAGCACTCCCTGGCTTTTGATGTGGTTGTTTTCTCGGAGCTGGGTAGTCTAGTTGAGATACTCACTTCAATGTTAAAAAGCTTTTTAGAGTCACCATCGAAGATGTTGATTAGAAAGACAATAAATTTCTCGCACAAAAAATCATCCAACTCAGAGAACAGAATCACATCAAAACATCGTTATTTTAAAAGTGGGATGTTTTGTTAAACACTAATATGTCACAAATTTTAGATGTTTTGATTAGCTTGAAAAGTGATCGACTTTGTTTCAAGGAAGTTTTTAGCTAACTGTCTACATGTCTGTTCACTGCTGCATTATATATACTTCGTTTATAAAATTTCTTTTCCGATTTGCGAATTCACACAGATTTTGTGTAATACATTCATGGACCACATCGTTCCATTAATAGCTGGCATAAGCTGATTTTTAAACTGACTATCTCAGTACAGCTCTTCAGTAAGTTTCTTTCATTACTTTTGCCAGATTTGCAGTAACTCACCTGGTTTTTATATTAGGAAGATTCTAACAGTCTGGACAATGAAGACACCCAACCAAAAACAACAAACACCAGTCACCATCAGTGAGTGAAATACACAAGAAATCGTCTATTTCACATGACTGGATAGGTGCAGTCATTTTAACCGACAGACAAAAAGGATGAGGAATTCAAAGCAAGCCAGAATCAAATTTTGAATGTAACACAGGCATTTATCACTCACTCTAAAGTCAGTGCGGATATGAACACCTTTCAGAATAAGGAAAAAGATCTGGTTTTCCAATAATGTCAAGTCAGTGCTTCTCTACATGGTTCAGCAATTTGGCACCCGTGTCACAAAAAGCCTTTCCAACAGGTTACTGTACACTTTCATCAACAGATGACTTCGCCCGATAATTAGAATTAAATGGCCGGTGGGAAAAGACAAGGGAACAACTAGGAGCTCTAACAGTGAAGCGAACCAACCAACAACCTATTATTGGTGGCAGAGTGGTTAGGACTCTCGCCGACCGTGCACATGGTCCAGGGTTCGATCCCCTGCCGATGCACACCCGATATCTATGGTCGGCCTGCAAAATTTGGGCTACCGACATCCATGCTGAAAATTCCATACTTGTACTGAAAATACGGTGTGGCGTCAATCTGTAATCAAAATAAAAAGTAAAAAAATGAATAAAAATAACTATGCAGAAGTAAACGAAGATGAATTAGATACATGCTGAGGAGATTAGCAAATGGCATAACACTCCAGGTTACAGAGTGGTATTCGAAGGTTAAGAGATGAGTTGGTCGTCTAAAGACGACATGGAGTAGATCATATGAAGAGGGAATGAGAACTAATCCGTAATCGTGCAGCTAATTGAAAGCTATGGGAAAAAAGTCAGTGCAGTTAAGATGTGCTACTGAAGCCCCATGATCCACTCTAAACATAAAGAACGTTTATTAATAATAATAAATATTCCAGAGGGATAAAAAGGTCATCTTCTTTTTGAGGATATAATGACATAATCTTGAGAATGTTTAACGAAATCGTCTCTATAATTCATGAATTCAGTCTATAATTAATGAGTTAGCAACAATTAATTGAAGTAAGCTAAGAAACTCATATCTATATTGACCCAAGTTGAAACTCAGAAGAAGCAGCGATGATAGGTTTTCGGGTGGACGTGGAGAAGGCAGAGGTGATAAAGACAGCCACCCAACAACAGTAAACACCAGTAACCGTGAGAAGGAGAAATTTGAATGATCACTTCTTTCATTTATTTGATCAGCATCCTTTCAACTACATGGAGCACAGATTAGCATGTCAAAGGTAGGATGGGAAAGGCAAAACAGACCTAAATTACTCTGAAATCAGTGTGGAACTGTACTACACTCAGTATAAAGAACAAAATCCGAACTTTCAACACCAATTTAGTTGCTCCTGTGGAGAGAGCTATATAGGGCGAACAACTAGACAGCTTAACAAACGCATTAATGAGCATCTTCCTTATTGGTTCGGAAAAGGTCAAGTTCTATTTTGGCTCATTTGATTGACAGCGGTCACCAAGTGGACAGAAGCAGTGCCTTCAAAGTTATCTATCGCATTCCATCGAGCCTTTCGAACGGAATTCGAATCCGTCTTTTACACATAGCCGAAGCTATGGGAATTAATTCGAGAGAACAATCCTAGTCTTTGCATACAATAAAAGAAGTTTGTTCTACCTTTGTCTCTCCCTTGCTTAGCCTAGGTGAATTCTAATCAAAACTCTCCCACCCTTTCTTATTTTCCATTTCCTTCGTACTTTTATGTTGTTTATTTAAACTCTAATTATCTGTCCACTTCACTTTTAGTATTACGTAACTTTTAAGATTTGATCTAATTTATTTATTGAATTATCTACATATACATATATTACTGCCTTTGTTATTCTTATCGCCACCTGCATAAACCTTATTATCAATATTTTGTTATCATTATAATCATCGTTATTAACTACGTTCGAAACATTTACCACATTATTATTATTATGTTATTATTATTTGATCCACAAAATCACCGTCATCGGTTAAAAATTTTTATATATAAGTCTATGTAAATTAGAGTAAAGCCTGAAGAAGATCTAATTGAAAACAGCAATATTGTTCGCTTATATGTCTTGTACCAATGTGAAGTCCGTTCTATACGGTTCAGAGATTGGTGCATCACGAAATCATTCCAAACAGACTGCAGACTTCTATCAAAAGCTTTCTTCACTCCACATTGAGGATTAGACAGCCAGCCTGAAAGGTTAAGCAATAAAGAACTCTGGAAACAGTCCAGCGAAGAACCTAGAGCCGAAGTAATATGCAGAAGTAAATAAGAGATGGATCAGGTAACCGTTGATTGGCAGTTTGATGCGCCAAGCAGGCGCTCGAGCTGAACCCGAATGGGGAACAACAAGCCGTTCGTTGATCCAAGAGTTTGACATTGAGGAGAGCATTTAAAGATGAGATGAGAGTTTATGTTGAAAGCTGGAGCCAACTGAAGACGACTGAAGAGAACAGGATGAAGTAGGGATATCATGTTCAATCGATATATTCTACTAAGAAACTTAGCCAGTAATAATAATATAAAGTAATAACGAAACTTGTGCGTCGGTGACATAGTGGTTAGGACACTCGCCAACCATGCACATGGTTCGGGGTTCGATCCCCGGCCAACGTACTCCTTTACCTCGCTAAGCCAGAAATAATGCCGGTGAAGAGGAAAGGTTGGGCATGAGGCTAGCAGCCCCATCCTGTAAAATAAACATTGCTATTAAAACTTCAAGGCACTAGCTTGAAGCCTTATGTTTCACTGAGGAATGTGAAGGAAAAAAATAAAGAAGCTTAGCGTATTCTTTAACTTAGATGAGTACAGACAGATGGCAAAATGCACTGTCAGAAGATACATCTTAAATTTCATCAAGCAGTTTTTACCACAGACCACCAGACATACTCAAAAACTGCTTCTGTTTCATAATTGTGCTTATTTTAAATTTTCATTTCATTTTATTATTTTTTCTCTCTTCACTTGAGAAGTCACTGCGTTGTTTACCCAAACACTCAGCGTAGAAGAATAACAATATGACAAAATCAATAAAAATTAATATAATCAAGTGCAATTTTCATAAGGCGAATTGCGAACATTAAAAGAAAAGTCATTTCTTCAATTCAATTCAATTCAATTTAAAAAGTATATATATATAAAAAACTAAAAAATCAAAAAAATGCTTAAATATCAAAGTTTTAATACTTGACAACGAAAAAACACAATATGATAACTAAATCTTTCATATATTTATTATTATTGTTACTATTATTATCAGTATGCTTTCCGCATGTTTCAGCGGTTACCCAAGAAAGTGAAACAGATATCCAGAGAAATACTACACGTAAAGACGTGGACGAGAGACATGATTTCATGGGTACAGAAAGGAAAACCTCTAAAAATGGACAAAGAGATGATGAACGAGACTTTGAATTTTTCTTGGATACTGAAGGTTTTCAAAACAAGTATGTACAAAAAGGCAAAGGGAATATAACAGTGAATGGAAAGGTTAAGAAAACCGGCAGAGGAGATTATGATAGTTTATCAGTGAAATCATCTAGTTTTCGATTAAAAGGTTCCTATGATAAATATGGAAAACGTCAAATTAAAAAATCAAAGTTTAAAAATCGTGGTAAAAGGAAGGCCTATTCAAAACGATTTCTTAATAAGTATTTCGATATTTATGGGAATATATTTGAAGAACGAAGACATTTGGGTACTGGTTCTGGTGAAAGTAACAGTAGGCATATTAATGCAAATGTACGCAGTGAAGACGAAATGAACGAACAAGTGAAGAAGGCGAATAAACAGTCTAGAAGTATACTCAAAGAAAAAGGAAGTGAGGCGTCGAAATCTGGAAATCTCGGTAGCAGTCAACAATTTAAATGGTCTAAAAATTCTGTGTGAAGAGATTATAAACATATATATAAATTAAAAAAGGACATAAAGAGACATAAAATGGCACCGTAAGTAGTAATAAACACAACCTGATGTAATTAATATACAAATATATGATGTATTTGAAATCATACATAGGTGTGTTACAGAATTTGCCATTCACTATTAACCTTTCCATTAATCACTCCTTTTTTACATTTACTTTTACACAGCAATGAAATAATATTCTGTTGAAGTATATCTAAATGTGTAATATTTACGTAAGAGTTACAACACTGTTTCTTCGCTTATCTTTATTTCAAATGTAAGCTCTATTCAACATTTCTTTTCTTTCAAACATTAATATTGTTAAAAAATTAAAAACAAAAAGAACCTTATACTGATTTCATTTGTGTTATTTCATGGATTCTACTCAGTTATTTTAAGTTTGACTGTGGACTAATATATTAGTTAGAGAACCTTGTGAAAACCGGGAAGTACTGGAAAGCTGTTTCCTTTTTTTAGCTTAAGGATCTTCAGCAGAATGCACTCATCAGGGTTTAGATCAGGTGGATGTATACTTATATAGGTTTTTCATACATTTTTTTTCATTGTACACGTCAGGTCGGCTGTTGAAAGTGAAAAACAATGAGCGGGGCTAGTCGTCTTCGAGCATAGATGTTTACATTCTATTTACACTTCTAAATAGTATGATATTGTGAAGGAGGGTTAATCGAAGAGGTTGGGTAGTTGTATCAGATGGCGAGAATACATGTTAAGTGGGCTTCACCATCGCGTTGCTCTTCGTACAAACATAGCTGACTTATAGGCAGGTTGAAGAAAGGGTTTGGAGTTGAGAAACCGAAATGTGGCGTCAGTCCACCAAGCTCTAGACTATTGATTGATCCACTTAGGGTGGTATAAACTGTCTGGCTGGTATCGTCGAGACGGTAAGATCAAACGGCTTGCGACTCTTGATAAGATGGCCCAAAAATCGCCGTCATTAGCACAGACGCATTCATTGTCTGTTATTCCTCAGGCTGACTGACTAGGTGGAATGAGGTGATCTAAAACCTAGACTGACATCTATCTGCATTCGAGCAACAACTTAATTCAGGCAACCGAATCAAGATTGATTTCTAATCTTCAAACGTCAACTTTGCACTGTTCGTTTTTATATACCTAATGAAAAGAATTACTTTGTTTACCCTGTGTCAGTTAAATAAACTGTTTAATAAATATTCTTTTAGAGGTTTAATTGTCGTTTCCTAATGACTTTGCTGAGTAACACCATGCATAGTTTGTTTACAGCTATTTACGCCGAATAACAACTATTAGAATTTTTATTCGTTTCCCGTATCCTGAGTGGAACATAGGTCTTGGGAGGCAAATCTGCATCCCAGTCGGTTATCCACCGGCTATTTTAGCTGGCTGTACAAATGTCCACATGTCTCCGTTTCCTCCGCACTTGATATCTAACTCTTAGCTTCCCATTCAGGTTCTATTCGAAGGCCTAGTACATTGTGTCACTTAGAGGCCTCCTCAGAGTATTTTCAAACCATCACTGTATTCTTCTGTAGGTTTCTTGGGTTAAAGGTTGCTGGCTAGTCCTCTGAAGAGTATCTTGTTGCTTAAAAGGATAACTGTATAACTGATCTCTAATTGGTGTTGCTAAATAAGCTTGAATATTACAGTTCCGTATAGCATTACTGTTTGGAAAATAAGGCGCTAATATCAAACTTCAAGATTTAAGTTTGTCTTAGTATATCAGTTGTAATAAGCTCAGTCAGGTTCTTACTAGTGATCAAATATATCTACTGTTTAGGTTTACATATCACCTTTCCTAAGTATATCAAGACATACAACTTTCATACTTCCATTCACCGTCTCAATCTGAACATAAGTGAAACCTGCAATTGAAAATACTCCTCAAAGGCGTCTATCGTTTAACTATGTTATATACCTAATAAGCACACTCGTTAGAGAATTAATTTCCAGTGTAAAATCCACAATGTTCTTCCACTCATAAAAGTTTAATAATCAAGGTCTGAACTTTCTTTTTTTAATTCTTTTGTGGAACATTCTTTTGGAACATAGGACTTCAAGCTTCAGGCTTTTGGTGTTTCACAGGAGATGATATTGTTTTTTTCGGGATAGTGTCACTGGCCTCACGCTTAACCCCACCCTCTTCACCAGTCTTAATACCAGTTAGGTGAGGTTGAGCAGTACGTCAGCCGGAGAAGTTTAAAATTAGTAAGATGGAAATTTCCGCCAGTCGGAATAAAATACCTTTATATGCAGTAGATTCATAGGGTACATAAATATTTCTGCAAAACTAATAATAATAATAATGATTTACTTTATTCCAAAAACAGTACTTGTGATACAGAATGGAATTTTCAGCATTAATCACAATATTGCATCTAATTTCCTCAAATTATAAATAAAATTAATCACACAGAAAGTTTTCCACATTTACAATAGGGGTAATGTCAAAAACATGCAGCATATAAAATGGAAATAATAATAATGATAGCAGCTAAGGTAATGATAATAATACAAGTGGAAATTGCCGTGGGCTTGTTTCACACAGTATTGTCGATGCGGTATACAAATCCTTGCATGATTAAAAATATTGAATATAATGTTCTCTTTACATGATATGGTGAGGGGAAAAACAAAGATTACAGCAGTCATAGAGATAAGTTGGTGTTTGCAATTATGAAAGTAAAACAAAGAAGCAACAGGACCATAAATATAATAGAAATAATAAAAGTAAAACTTGAAGGTATATAAAGATGGATGGAGGAGATTGTTTATTTACTAGATGAAAAAAGGTTAGTCAATTCTTGCCTGACACTATTTTCATCACATAAAATACGTGCCAAGTATGGTATCATAGAATTTTTATACTTAGACGTGCGAGCATACAGTTTTCTGAAGTTACTTCTTGTTCTACCTGAGGAGATGCAAGGTGAAAGCTGAGGGTGAAGTGGATGCATGCTGTTGTTCAGTTCTCGTAAATCAACGATACAGCACCATATTAAGTGACATCCTAATAAATGAAATGACATTTTCAAATCTAGATTATCTGTTAGCAAATAAGTAGTCATGAAAAAAATGAAAGATCAACCCTCCATACGTTGGTAATTTATTCAAAGCACTAGAGTGTTATTTAAGCTCAGATTAATGACTTGTCGATACTATGCAGCATGGCAGTATTTCACTTCAAAAATGAATCGCTGCGTCTATTTCTTTTACCCTTAAAGTATAACCCCGATTATGTGGGACTACAGAAACTCTGTGTGTTTCAAAATTAGCAAGGTTTTATTAGATATTTGATAATACCACTTCAGAAAACAAGCTATTTTTGTTAATGTACTCAAGAGCGTGTTACAGAATGTATTTATGCAGTATAAAGGCATACTGTACACTACACATGCCTTATAAAGTCGTATTCATTTGGCATTGGATGGTTGGATGCAGTCGCCGAGAAAACCGATACCCAAGCCACGTACTTGGTGGCGCACTTTATCAACACATATCTATCACCTCACAAGGACTGTCCTTAATCTGGCTTGTCATAAGGTTTTCTCTTTCATGTGAAATAAATTTTTGGGTATTTCTTGTCCTGTGAGTAGGAAATAGGACTTTGAGATTTGAAATTTTAGTAGCAGTGGTGCTGATTTTATAGAATGGGGTTTCTAGTGTAACACTCAGCCTAACCCTTTCTGTACGCCTAATACTGACTAGCAAACAAACTACGAGAGGTCTAGGAATGATTTGTCTAGAAGTAAATTCAAGATATGCCGAGTGACTAGTGGACATTCTATCGCTGAACCAGATTCTCACGTACATCCTAAATCACATCTTCTGAACATACAGGTGTGACTCTGTAGCTGAGTGACACTACTAAATTTTGTTTGCTCTAGAAAGCAATGAAATAATAGAAATGAGTGTATATCAACCTGTCCATGTGATTTTCCCATGTAAATTTCTTTCTACAGCAATTAAACTGTCTTGTGAATAAAAGTTATCAGTATAGTTTGAGTCAGATTCACAGTCTGATCATATACTGTGATGTGAATAACTTCGGGATTATAGAGAAAACTGTGTGCTAAAGTTTCACCTCCTGGGATTGTGTAAATTTACACATTAAGAATTTGATTTATAGTAACACGAGTTTGTTTGAGTAGCTAAAAAAGAAATCAGATAGTTTGAAATGGTTCTGCTCTCTCAGCTGAATCAAACTGTGTGTATGTGGCTGATGAGGTCTGCCACAAAGGGGCGAAAGTCTGTTCGTTGTTTAAATCACTTCGGTCTAGTTGACAGGCTAGCAAGCACTACTGGGTGATGTGAGTGACTTGTAACTACTCATTTCCAGCAATCAGTAGTATATGGTCTTATTCTAACGAAAAGCACATATGTTACAGGATTTCATAATGAGCTGTCATTGGTTAGAGAACCATTGGAAAAGAAGCTGGGAGTACTGGACAGCTGTTTCGTCCTAGTTTGAGACTCTTCATCAGTACGCACCCAGGACTTTCTGGTTACAAGGCTGGCGAGCTTGTAGATCATTGAGCCACTGGGACCCGATCCAATGGCCAGTGCATGAATTCTAACTTCTACCAATTCACAGTGTAGTGCAACCGCTAGCCAATGTCTTCGGTGAGTATTTGTCCTCACACCCGACCTGCTGCATCCTACTGATCCAGTACTCCCTGCAGGTTTTCCAATGGTTCTCTAACCAATGTCAGCTCATGATGAAATCCTGTAACCAATCAATCAAATCCTTACAAACCAATGCTTGAATATCAATGAGATGCTTACTGGCGACTGGGCTTATTCAGGTAGGTAGTTACCTGAGGTTCTAGTGGGAAGTCGTGACCAGTAGGGTGCAGTAGGTCAGGTGTGAGGACAAATACTCGCCGAAGACATTGGCTAGCGATTGCGCTATACCGTGAATTGGCAGAAGTTAGAATTCATGCACTGGCCATTGGATCGGGTCCCAGTGGCTTCATGGTCTACGA